AGGGTGACAAGAACTTCGTGTCTTCTGGCGCCGCCCTGTAGGGGGGAGCGCCAACAGTGCCGAGAGAGTGCGACGTGCGCTGGCGCCTGCCAGCAAGAGAAAGCAGGGTCAGGTCTGGCATGTCCCCCTACAGGCGGATTTTGAAAAAAAGAAAATGGCCCAAACATATTCAAACATGGTCAACAAATAGTCGAAACATCGTTCCCAGACTTGTTTAACAAATGCCAGTGTTGAACATGTGTTCTGTGGAGGGACGTGCCCGACTCAAAAGCAGGGAGCCTCGGCCAGGGCAAGCACACTCTCAGGAAGTCCCTGGCGCGCGCCCCCGCAGCAAGCTGGCCGGCTGCCTCGGGAGATGGTTTACATGGGCCACAGTGGCTACGGACGGGGGAGAAGGAGGAGGGGGGGCTCCTCCTCCTCCCCCATCCTCCTCCTCCTCCTCCTCCTCCTCCTTCCTCCTCCTCCTCCTCCTCCTCCTCCTCCTCCTCCTCCTCCTCCTCCTCATGGCTCCTCCTCCTCCTGCTTTCTATGCTCCTCCTTCGCCGCCCGTCCGCCGCCGCCCCCCCGCTCTTCCGCCGCTCTTGCGCCGCTGGCGCCGCCGCCCCCCACCAGTCCCTCCCAGACCTCCTCACGCCCTCCCCTGCACGCACCCCTCCCTCAGAGCGAGGGAGGGGCGGGGGGGGGGGGGGTGAACGCGAGACCGTAGCTGGGGAGTTCAGGGGGTCGGCGGCAGAGACGGCGGCCTTCAGCTCCGCGCGTGGACTGTAGCGAGGCGCCCCGGCAGTCCGCAAAATGGGCGCGTGGCGCAGAAGCCGAGTGACGTCGGTCGCGCCACGTGGGCCGAACCACGGTGCGGCGCAGACGCCACTGACATCCGCGCCTGCCATGCGCTGCCGCATTCATCGTTGCAATGCCCCCCCCACCCTCCTGACGGCCCCTCGGGTTTCCGCGACGTCGCCAGACGGCTCAACATGGCCTCGATATGACCCGATCGTCTCCCGATGCGCCCACGCATGCCTCCAGGACGACCCCCAGGACGGCTCCAATATGCCCGGGGCATTTTCCCCCTTGAATTTTCTCCTTTTCCCCACTGACCTTAATTTGGATTCTTTTTGTTCGCGTCGCCTCCCACCACCTCCACCCGCTCGCCCGCCCCCACCTCTCCTCTTCTCACCCGGACCCGGGACTCGTGTTTAATTCACTCACGCCAAGATCCGCGTACGCTGATACTCGCTCGTGGACGTGCCCACTCCCGCTCAGACTCGGGCTCGCTCATGCCCAGACGCGCTCGCAGTCATATTCGCTCTTGCTCGGCTGGGTCAAGTTCATGCTCTCGCGCGCAGGCCATCCGCGCTCGCAGCATGCACGCCCCACCTCGCTCATGCTGAGAACCGCTCGCGCGCAGACGCACCCGTGCTCAATCACTCATGTACATGCCATATTTTATGCACCGCGATGTAACGCGCAAGAGAACATTGGGGCACCCCAAAGGGGTGCCGCCCGGAGGTGCACCGCGGGCCCGCGCGCATTCTGATGGTGGATGTCTCGAGCGAGGCGCTCGTTCAGTTGGCAAATCTCTGTTCCGGGCCTTCTGGTCGCCGCGATGTCGCGCGCGTGACATTTGGGCGCCGCCGAGGGGGGGCCGCCAGGGGCCACGTCACGGGCCCGTTCGCGCTCAGTTTGTGGGGGTGCCTCGAGCGAGGCGCTCGTTCGATGGGCAAGACTCGTTTCTGGGCTCCATGGTTCTCCGCGGCGCTGTGCGCGTAGCATTTGGGCGCCCCAGATGGGGGGGCCGCCGCGGAGTATACCAGGGGCCCGTTCGTGCTCAGATTGCAGGGGTTTCTCGAGCGAGGCGCTCGTCTGGCCCAACGGGCAAATCTCCGTCCAGAGCTTGATGGCCACCGCGAAACAGCAGGCGTACCATTTGGGAGTTCCAGCGGGGGGGCGTTAAAACACGTATGCCACGGGCCCGTTCGCGCCCAGATCCCAGGGATGCCTCCAGCGCAGCGCTCGTTGGGCCCAGCGGACGAGCTTCTTTCCAGAGCCCCGCGACCACCGCGAAGCAGAAGGCGCAGCACTTGGGCGCCCCACGGAGGGGCCGCCGCTGGATATTGCGCTTGCCCGCTCGCGGCAACTGGTGACGTTCGCATGCGTCCGCCCCTCCTGTTGCAGCGCTTCGTGGCCCCATAGGGGGCCCCACCGCAGGCCCCATTGGCGTCGTTCGCATGCGACCGCCCCGCCCAGTGTTGCGCTTCGTGGCCCCATGGGGGGCTCCACCGAAGGCCACAATGGCGACTTTCGTATGCGTCCGCCCCGCCCATGCAACGCTTCGCGGTCCAATAGGGGGCTCCATCGCAGGCCCCAGTGGCGACGTTCGCGCGCGCGTCCGCCCCACCCGATGCAGCGTTTCGTGGCCCCAGAGGGAGCTCCACCGACCGCGCCCGTGGCGACGTTCGCAGGCGCCCGCCTCACTCAGCACAGCGTTTCCGTGGTACCATAGGGAGTTCCATCGAAGGCCCCAGTGGCGACGTTCGCACGCGCCCGCCCCCCCACCCACCCCGGAGAGCGTTTCGTGACCCCATCGGGAGCTGAACCGAAGGCCCCAACGTCGACGTTCACATGCGTCCGTCTCGCCCTGTGCAGCGTTTCGGGGCCCCATAGGGGATTCCACCAAGGGCTCCACTGGCGACGTCTGCATGCGTTCGCACCCAGATCCTGGGGATATCTCCAGCGAGGCGCTCGTCTGGCCCAGCGGACGAGTCTCAGAAGGCATAGCATTTGGGCACCCAAGGAGGGGCCGCCACTGGGTATTGTTGCACTTGCCTGTTCGCGGTCAGTGGCGACGTTTCGCATGCGCCCGCCCCACCCAGTGCAGCGTTTCGTGGCCCATAAGGGTTCCGCCGAAGGCTACAAGGGTGATGGTCGCATGCGTCCCCCTATCAATACAGCGTTTCGTGGCCTCATATGGGGCTCCCCAGAAGGCCCCTGAGGCGACGTTCGCATGCTTCCCATCCTCCACTGGAGGCCCCAGTGGTGACGCTCGCATGCTCCCCCCCGCCCATTTCGGCACACGCATCACGCGTTTCTTGACCCCATACGGAGCTCCACGGAAGACCCCACTGGCGACGTTCGCATGCGTCCCCCCCCGCCCATTTCAGCACACCCCTCACACGCTTTGTGGCCCCATGTGGAGCTCCACCGAAGCCCCCAATGGCGACGTTCGAATGGCGGCCCCGCCCCATTTTGGCACACCTCTCTCACGTTTCGCGGCCCCAAAAGAGGTGGGTGGGGGGTATACCTGATGCCCGCAGCGCCCGCATGGCGGCCGCGCCCCATTTCGGCACATCATTTGCACGCTTCGGTAACCCGTCAAGAAATCAACCGAATGCGATGCCCATAGCGGCGATACCCAAAACTGCATATGGTTGGTCCTTCGCCAAGATACGTTTTGGGGGGCCGCGATGTGTCAGGAAGCTAAAATTTCGCCCAGGATGGCTCCAAGAGGGCACCCTTTGCTCCAAGATTGTCCCCCAAGATGGCTCAAGATAGCTGAGGATGGTTTAAAATATGCTTCGAAGAAACCGCGAGAGGATCACAAGACTGCCCCAAGTGCTGTCGGGCCCCCCATCAGGACTTCCCCAAAGGCTCAACGTCGTCTTGGAGGCCCCCTACGAGGCCCCCAATGCGGCCTCAAGACTGCCCAAAAGTACCCTGTGAGGGCCCCAGGGGACGACTTTGACGGCACCAGAGGGAAGGGATTCGGGGACCCCTCTTTCGACTGACGCCCTCCACGATTGCCCCAGGAGGCCCTCCAAGGCTCAGGCCCCCAAGAGGGCTCCAAGAGAACCCCAAGACCCCCAGCAAAAAGCCCCACGAGGACCTCAAGACCTTCCAGAACAGCTCCACGATGCCCCCAAGAGGGCCGCGAGAGAACCCCAAGACGACCCTAAGAGAGCTGTCAGCATCTGCCAGCATCTTCGTCCTTCTCATCGTCTTCGTCCTCTTCCTCCTTGCCCTCTTCTTCTTCTTCCTCCTCCTCCTCCTCGTCGTCCTTCTCGTCCTCGTCCTCCTTCTAGTTCTCGCCCCCATCCTGGGTCTGATAAGGCCGATCCAAACGTTGTTCCTGCTGCTACACTGTCATGATCAGGGCAACTGGCCTGTGCATCATTTCTAAATGGGCTGGTGGGGATATGTGAATCGTGATGAACTGTGAGACTGGTAGATAATGCGATCGACCGATCAGTTGATAGGAATATCGGTAGACTGACGGTGGGATCGACACATAGTTTGAACGATCGCTCGATCGATCTTGTGAGTGGTAGTTGGGCCAACAGATCGAGCGATCGATGGAGAACTCAGTCGTGAGACCGGTAGCTACGGATATCGATCTATGCGTGTAGCAACGTTGGACATACAGATCGCGTGTCCGATGCGATGCCAATCTTAAACCGACAGCTGCATCCACCCCTGTAATCTCCCCATCACCCGACGGGTGGTATATGCGCTATGTGCCTCATATTTCTTATAAACCTAACATGTTTTGATCAAGCATTTGGGGTACTCGCCATTGTATGTGGCGGTGGTTGGGAAATACAGAAAGGACAATGGTATGGAATTTATTTACGGGATGGAGACGGGAGAATCCATGGAATGGTGTACAAGGTATTTGAAGCGAGATATTCATCAGGCAAGCAGTTTGAAAGGGAAGAAGCGAGGAGCATTCAAGGCACTGTCGGAGCGAGGAGGAGTGAGTCTGAGATAGACGACAGGCACAATCACCAAGTCGCCAATGAGCACCTGGCACATCAAGGTCGTCTGCGAAAATGCCGCAACTCGGCTGTAATTAGGTGAGACGGGCGAGATGGGTGCAGGTGGAAAGGGAAGAACAGGGAGGGGGTGGGACGAAGCGGGAGGGTGGAGGCAGGCAAGACGGCGGAGGATCCGGGGAAGTGAATGAAAGCAGGGAACATCCGAGTGCCCTCTCCAGCTGCCCCAGCAGCGCTCCTTGCGAGCGCCATGGGGTTCTCTGCGGGCTTCGCCGCTGCCTGCCGGGCGCGTCTTCTGAGAAGCTCGGAACGCTCACTGTCAGCATCGCCTCTGCCATCGCCACGGCCGTTGCGACCGGCCATCAGCATCGCCTCTGCCATCTGCCACCGCCGCAGCTACCAAAACGAACACCCAAACCATCTCAGGGACGCGACCTCAACTGACGACGACCACGATTGATTACATGAGCCCGATCACGACCACCACGGTCGAAGAACAGTCGAGCTCGGCGGCCGAATCTTTCCCTTTCATGCTCAATCTCTGCAGTTCAGGGGAGGGGAACGACTCCAAAAACAAAAGTGCACAGCGGCCCAATGAGGAGGAGCTTCCCCCTGCGTGCGAGTAACAAGTCAGAGGCGCCGAAAGCGGGGTGGCCAAGCGGGGCGACGTAGCAAAAGGGTTTGGGCTTGTTCGTCAAACTGTGTCCGCACTGGGCCTCTGTCCTCACTTCAGGACGTAGAAAGCAGACAATGCCCCCCAAAGACTACCGCTAGCACGGGAGACTACATCCTTGATCATTCTCGGCGGCGCCCTCCCGGTAATTTCGTTAGCAAACCACTTGTAAGCACCGTGCAGAGTAGTATTCGCGCAGCCTTCAAGAGAATTGCGAAGCCGCAGGACCTTGTGAGGAAACTCGAGCGACTGATCAGTAATCGCAAGGGGGCAAAACAAGAATTCGAAGACGCGATCTCGCGTGAACACTGGCACCCATACTGCGACCCCAATGCAGGATTTTTTCAGGGAGCTATAGAGTCCATGGAGTCCACGGGGGGATATCGAAGACGAAATCTCCGCTCCCCGCGATATTGAAGCATAGCTGTGCGCATATGGTAAATCACGTGTCCCAGTGATCGCTGTGAGCGTCCAGCGCGCACAGCACGGAACCCTACGGAAGTACCAAATGAATCCCAAAGAAATCTCACATGAGCCCCGACACATTCCAGGAGCCTTGAAGGAACCCCAACAACATCACAAAAGGAATCTGCAATGAATCCGAAAGACCAGGGCAACATCTCGAGGAGGACAAACAGGAGGGGCAGGAACACACGACAAGGGAAAGCGCAGGGCTCGCCTGGACATAAGCAACCAGTGCTGCCACCGTGCTACAAAAATTGTTTCCCCCAGGGAATCCTACAAGAGTCCACGGAGGGACATTGCAGACGCGTTTCGGGAACTAGACCCCCCGCAATACCTTAGCACATTCATTAAGCATGGCATGAATCATTGGACCCGGTGGTCGCCGTGGCTGTCCAGCGCGCACAGGATTCCCAAAGGAACCTCAAAAGATTTCAAAATAAATGTCCAACTAATCAGAATGAGAACCATCATAGGACATGACAACGGAAACTCAAATCAATCTCAAATGGATATCATGAACCCTGCGCGAGCCGAATTCATAAGCGGGCTTCTTTCTTGCGGGGCAATTCAAACCAGTTCTGGACAACGCAGTGAATTGAAACGCAATGCAACGCACTGCTTGGCATTGCCTTGCGTTGCTAGGAATCGTTGCTTGGCCTTGCTTGTCGTTGCGAGGCAATGATTTTCACTGCTTGGCGTTGATGGGCATTTATCTGCATTGTGCTCCGTTGCTTGGTACTGAAAGATATTGCACAGGCAAGCCCTGGCAAGCCTGGGCAACGCCCGGGGGCCGCCTGGGCAAACCCGGGAAACTCTGGACAACCCAGGCACCGACGAGGAACCCTGGGCATAGCCTGGGGCCGCCTCTGACGAAGGGCCAAGCGTCCACTGGTTCCTTTCACAAACAAGTGAGAACCCCTCAACCAAAGCCTTATTTGGGAAAAGAGAATCTTCAAGGAATCGCAACATAACCTCACGTGAGTATCGAAACTGACGCAGTTCTCACTCTGCCCATCTAGCACAAGCTCCCCAGCTCTGAACGCCCGTTGGGGGAATCACTTGGGATGCATAAGAGGCCCGTCGTCGGAACCACTTAAGGCTGTACGGGGCTCTATGGTAAACCAAAAGGACATATTACAAGACAGTCGAAGCCAATGCGCATACATGTGTGCATATATGTGCATGTAGTTGTGTGTGTGGGCATGTGCATCTGTATCTGTATAGGCAGATGTATACGTACGCGAATATGCGTAGGTATATGTGTATGTACGTGTCGGTCTAATACATACATGAGATGGGGAGGCTGGGGCCTCTGCCATCGCTGCTGCGAGTGGCTCTGGGCTCAGGCCTTCGCTTGCGGAACCTCCCGCCCGCTCACCTCTGCCAAGGACCTGGTCGCCTATCTTCAGCTGGGCGGCGCCTTCGGTGCCGCTCCATTCAACGAGTACGAGGTGGTAATGTTTCAAGGGCTCCTGCTGACCGAGCTTTCCGAACCCGCGCTCGAGATCGACGGGCTCTACGTCATTCCTCAGGGCCCCATGGCGGCGTCCAACGCCGTCTTTTGTCCGCCTACCGTCCCGCCACCGGGACCCCTGGGCGAGGCCCCAATGGCGGCGCCCGGGCCACGTTTCATCCTTGGCTGTCCGCAGTGTCGCGCCCAGTGGTCCATTCCAGAGCACATCCCGCCGTGCGCGCTAGGGGCCTGTCCCAACTGCGACAGGCCATGCAGTGGCGCCGCCACCATCGACGGACTCGTTCAGCCCTCCTCAGGGCCAGTCGGCACCGACGGCACAGCACAGAAATGTCGCCCCCCGTTGAGGGCCTCCCCAACCCGTCCGGCGCTCCGGCCGTTGGTCCGCCTTCGCTGCCGGTGCGGCGCCATTGGCATGAACGCATCTGACATGCGGCACCTCGAGCGGTTCAGCTTCTCGCGCTGGGGGAAGTGTCTCTACTGCGGGTCCGCCTTGCCCAGGGCGAGGCAGCGGCAGGTCGCCCCTCCTCCCGCCAGAACGCATGAAGGCGTTGCGCTGCTCTGGGAGGCCGCCGTCGGCGCCAACCTCCTCCAGTCCTGCTGCGAGAGCGTCGGCACGGCTGCCTGGATCCGACACCCGCTGCGGCGCGACGGGCACGAGCCCGGCCGGGGCCGTCAGTGCACTGGGGGGCCCGAGCCGCTGCTCAGGGAAGGGTGCCTCGTCTTCGGCTGCCCGCGCCGGCAGCCATAGCGGCCCCGAAGCTCCCCAGGCTGGCCCTGAGGGCGGCGGCAGCGTTATGCGCGGCCCTTCGAAAGGACGTTTCTGTCATGCGGAGGCTTATACCAAGAGGAAGAGGGGGGAGGAAGGAAGACGAGGCCAAAGGGGAAGCAACGACGACGACGACCCCAAAGCGCAGGAACGACAAAGCGTGAGGACAGGAAGCGAGAGAGGAGACGATGACTCTGTCTCACCTACCAGCCGCGAAAGTTTTTTCACCCACGACGGCATCAACTGTTTCCACACCACGGGCGACTCTTTTGCTCCCGAAGGAGCGCGAGCGCAACGCGGTCATCACTCCCATGGGGACGCACCGCACCGCTCCAGCATGCCCCAACGGGGGCACCCCTCTGCCACGGACAAAGAGAGCGCTTGCAGGACCGGGCCGCCTGGGGATCGCGAGCACGGCGCTCGCTTTTCGTCAGGCATGCAATTAGTGGCGCGGCGGCGCCAGGCCGGCACCAGGACGTCAGTGAGTGATTCCCGTGGAGCGTCTTTTCTTTTCTTTCGTCATCCCCCCCAACACCCCTTGCTGCCGCGAGCGCGGTCTTGCCCGCTCGTGGCGCGCGCCGCTGGCTTTAGGTCCTACAGGCGGACTTTGAACGACACCTAAGGATAGTCCAACAAAGAATCACACATAGCCAAAAGAACACGACAAACCGTCACCGAACTATTGTTTACTATTCCTGAGCACTCCTCCTGTAGAGGGACACGCCCGACTTCACGCTTGCTCCTGGCGCTGACCCCCTTCGAAGGCCGCACTCGCCCATCCGCCCCGGCCCACCGCCTCAACCCGGCGGGCCCGCTTGTGCTGAAACGCGGGCTGTCCCACCCTACCTGTAAGTCGGGCGTGTCCTCTACAGGAGGAATATTCAAGAATAGTGAAAGAATACTATGTTGACGATGTTTTGTGCTCTTCTGACTATTTTTGTTTATTTCTAAACTATTTCATATTTTTCGTCCAGACTCCGCTTGTAGGAGGACGTGCCCGACCTGACCCCACCTTCGCACAACGCTGCGCACTCTCCTCTCTGCGGGCCCCCTCCGGTCCCCCTCCGGTCCCCTGCTGCCCCCGGCACGGATCTGCCCGCCCCTGGCGCGGTCACCGGTCTGGGTACATCCGCGTCGGTCGGAACCCTCCGCCAGGCGCAGCTCGTTCCACCTGTCTCTTGCGCGGTCGGCCGCCTTACTCCGGTCTGCCGCCCCCCGCTCCCGCGGCGCGCGGTGATTCGCCTCCGCACCAGGCGCTGGGGCCCCGCCGCCTCTGGCGTGGGCCTGCCCGCGTGGCGCTGCGCCGGGTATGCGGGTACCCTGCGCGGCAGGTCGGATACCCGCCTTCTTGCTCGCCGCCGCTCTGCGGCACCAGCTCCTTACTGCCAGGTGAGGGGGCAGCCGTCTCGACTTTTCCTTGCTCTTCCATTGACGACTTTTGTGTATCTACTGACCCAGGTCAACCCAAACCCTGGTCATTCAGGCTTTGCAAGATCCTGCAAGATCCTGCAGGACCCTGCCAGATCCTGCGCCCAAGCCTGGATCAGTGCGCCCCTGGCTCTGCAGGATCCTGCAAGATCCAGAATTCTGGCTGGCGTCGGTTTGCATCGACCCCCGTCCCTTAAGCCCCGAACCTTGACGCATTCGCGGGCCCCGGGCTTGTGCGAGTCGCCCACCCGCGACGACCGAACTTGTACGGGTATACGTATAGGATGTATATATTCATATGTAATTGTATGTGAAAGCGCACACATTTGCATGTAGTATGTGCATGTAAGGTGTACAAATAATGTGTATGCATGATGATTGCGTGTATGCATGTATGTGTGCATGCATGAAACAATGCATACGTATGTATATGTATCTGTATATGATAATGTATATGTTTATGTATATGTATA